TGCAGGATTGGGACCAGCAGCTCAGATTCGGTGCGGAATCTCTTGCAGATCTCTGGTCGCCGTTGCTGGGAACTGAAAGCCCTTTGCAGAGATTCATGCTCAATTTACATGGCTTACGCCCATTAATGGTGAGCTGGGACGCCCTATTTTTAGGTCCTGCCCAACAGGCCCAAAACTGAAATTAGGGTTCGGGGGTCAACGTCTTTTTTTGTTGTTGTAACTGGGACGCGCCCTATTTTCAGGTCCTGCCCAACAGGCCTAAAACTGAAATTAGGGTTTGGGCCCTTTGGGGGTCAAGTTTTTGTGTTTTTTATTATTATTATTTTTTTTAGAACAGTCCAGAACACACCAAATTTGGCACACAGCAACCTTGCCCTAAAACAAAAACAAGCAAAAAAAAAAAATCAAAAACACAAAGAATTTGACTCCCAAACCCTAATTTCAGTTTTGGCCCTGTTGGGCAGACCTAAAAATAAAAGTAGGGGATCACCGTTAAGCCAGAACGGAGAGAAGGTTAACGGAGGCCTAGAGGAGACCTGGAATGCTGTCATCCAGGCAGTTCCCCGCTCTTAGTTCAAACTGCTGGGCCCAAACCAAATGGCTTCAATCTGCTGGGGACATCGTCGTATGCCCCCAGGGGCTTGAGGAGGAGGGCACTATGTGGAAGGTGATGGGTACCTCACAGAGTGGTTCCAGAGAGATTCAAAAGTTGAAAGTGGAGGAAGCTGCAGAGGTGCTGGAGTTGGGGCGAGAGGAAGCGTTGACGAGTTAGAAAAAGACCCTTCGGATTCAAGACTTGGAGAGCGAGAACAGATCAGGTCAGACCCCGGTTACCCAATGTAGGTAGGAAATGTGCCCTTGGGAGAGGGCTTTCCATTCATCCCCGAGTGTGGCCATGGTCAGGAAGCAGGTGCTCTCCCTCGCACCTCGCAGAGAATGGATCCATCAAATCGTTCAGTCCGCGAGTCATGTTGCCTATGTAGGTGCTGCTAATCAACCAAGCAGATGTCATATCTCGGCAGCAATCTCCAGATGCAGCGCAGTAGTTTCTCGGGGATCTGCAGAATGTCGGAGACGGTTTTTTTTTAACTGCAGAGCACATCGACTGAGCTACCCAACGTTAAGCACGCAAGAATCCTGTGGTTATTGTCTCTGCTGGCGACCCCCTTGGCAGTGTGGCTCTCTGTGGTGGATGAGCGACGTTCATCGCGTGCACCGGGCCTTTCAAATCCACGTGTCACCCCACCTCTGGTGGGATTGCCCACCCTTAAAGAGGGTGTGGAAATGGTGGGCCTACCATCAGCAACGGATCGGTGGTGGTCATCACACCAAGCGGGATGACAGGTGGGTGCTACTGGTTTCTTCCCCCGAGAACTGCACAGGGAAAAAGGGCTGGGCCTAAGGGGGCCCATGTTGTGAGAGCGGTGATCTTTTCAGTCATAAAGACTGACAGGAACGGATCCCGGTTTCATCGTACGCCTCCCTACAATGCAGAAATCAAGGCTGCTATCAAACGGCGTATAAGGGGAGGCTATCCGGGGTTGATTGGTGCAGACAAAGGGAAGGGGTGCCAGACAGGCATTATGGTGTTTCCTGAGGACATGGGCCCCAAGGCAATCACCTGCTGGGAGTACATCCCACAAAAGGGCTCGCTCACCCTGTCCTGGTGATTTCAAGGGGAAGCTCCGCACTTTAGCATAGGCTAGTGTAACGTCGCATATATAGGCTAATAGGTTGAAATCAAAGACTCTGGTTTGGGATGGGTTTGTAAATGGACCAGGGCAGGAATTCGGTGCTGGACGGTTTTGTAGGTGGACCAGGGCACCCGGTCGTTAAGGGGGAGGCTAGAGAGTGCCAGGCACCAAACCAGAGACAATTCGAGTCGGTTGGTTTTGTAGGTGGACCAGAGCACCCGGCCGCCAAGGGTGAGGCAAGAGTGTTCCGGGCACCAAACCAGGGCACGGGTAGACACCCAACCAAAGGAAACGGGTGTGTGTTGGTTTTGTAGGTGGACCAGGGGACTGGGTCATGAAGGGAGAGGCTAGAGAGTGCGCGGGGCGCTCGGTTTGTAATAGACGCAGCGGTCAGTTAGGAGAGAACTACACAATAAAGATTTTTAATAGACGCAGCGGTCAGTCAGGAGATAACCACAAAATAAAGGAGCGTTTGCTCCACTGGTGGGTCAGATAGACCCGGTAGCCGAGTCAGGCTGGGTAGGCATAGATATAGAGGGATAAGTGATAGAGGTTGATGTTGCTACAAATTGCTGTGATCAATTTTCCGGCATGCTGCTGTGGGAGGATGCTGTTTAGTTCTTCTCCACTCAGAGTGGGACTGTAAGCAATAAGCTGAGTAATGCTCTCAGTACTCTGGATGGATATCCTTTTTTTTTATACTTCGGGTAGATTTGTGAGGTCCCCCGCCTTCGGCTTTTTCGAAGATAATAAAAGAATAGACTGTTCGTTTGTTTTTTTGTTTTTCAAGTCGCAGAGTGACGAGTCAGGGAACAGACCTTGGTGGATTATTGCTGGGGATTTTGATGGGACACTTGACCCGCTTCTTCCCAGCTAACAGCCAAAGCCGCGTAATGACCTCAGTTCATACCAGGTAGAATTGTGAGGTCCCGAGCCTTGCGTTCCATTCTGTTTTATAACAAGTTTCGTTTCTCAAATGAAAGGGAAAGGCTGGCAGTGGCAGACAAATCACGCCACGACTTACACAAGCGTCTAGTCTTCACTCAACTTGAAGTGGCAGACAAATCACGCCACGATTTTCACAAGTGTGTAGTTTTGGCACAACTTCAAGACCCAG